TTTTTATATACAATAATTATTAGGTTTACAAAAGTTTAGGTCTCGGCACCCTCGATAGCAGTTCTCGTCCCAGCCTACTCCCTGCAGCAATGGGCGTACCTTGTATTCTCTCCTGGTTCAGGGTTAACGACCCTTCCTGACAAAAACCATTCCTAAACTGATGGGATCACATCACATCCAATCACCTTTATTAACCTCGAATTTACAGTGTGGCTCTCGAAGCTAATATCCCCAAAATAAAAGAAAATAGATAATAAATTATAGTAATGATAATCCTAAAAGAAAAGAAATAGAAGAAAACAAAAAATAAGAGGAAATACAGAACTAAGAGAAAAATAATTTAACTGCCTATTACTTGTAATAATATATTTGTTTAAACGAAATTTTTCGCACTTTAAGTTTGGACTTCCCTAAGTTATGCCGTAGATCTCAAGTCCTCAGGGAGTCCACTTCAAGAGCAATCATTAAAACAACCGGGGGCTACTAAAAAAACAAAGTTTGCCTCCTATATTCAGTTTACAGTCTTCTCGTCTTCATAAATTCCCTGCTAGAAACTGAAAGGCTTCTACTAACAGGGAACTTCACAAAAAAGCTTTTTCTACAGGAGAGCAAACTCTCCAAACCTTTGTTATAATCCATGCACGGTCCACTTCAATTTACTACTTTATTAAACACCTTTAACCCCACTGGCTTACTCTAGAATCGAACCTGAAGGAAAGAAAATCAATAGACAACCACAACAACCATTATTTGTAACTATTTGTACTCTGTTGTCTTACGATACAACTGACGTCAGCAATAAATTAGTTAGAAGTGAAAATTACTATTCTTGCATTGTTTTGAAAAACAAAATTGGTTAAACTTAAAAATTTAGGAACGTATTTGGCCAATTTGGCCTGTCTTTTCGCATTTTAACTCCTACCCAGTGCAGTGATACATAGGGAGCTTGTAAACAGTAAAGATGGTCTTCAAATTTATTGGTGTACCTACGTCTTAATTGTGTTTATATGTCATTGCCACGATTTGCATTATCAATGAATAACCTTACAACAGTGCATCGTCAAATCAAAACTCTTAATGTGTTGAATTTGGTTTTGAGATCATCCACCACATCCAACGCATCCACCCAACCTCCACATCCACCACAACCTCCACAGCCACTACGACCGCCACAGCCACTACAACCACCACAGCAAAAAAGGGGGACTGACTTAATACATCTTCGAGCAAACAGCTCTGAATCATTACTACTTTTGTCGAATAATATTCAAACCGATCGCCTAATAGAACATAGCTGTATTCAAGCTGGAGGAAATACTTCGGGGATTTTTTCGTTAGTGTTAGAAGAATTGTTTTCCGAGGAGCTCTTTTTGGTCCTGGCTTCCTGTTAAAACTCCTACCCTATTTCAAATCTCTCAAACTTTTTAATTCGACAGGCTTTCTAGGCTTCCAAAACCTTTCAAAACCTGATCCCATACTAGCTTTTGCACCCCTGCTAATCTTAGAATTTCGTCAGTTTAATATCATTCGCCGCATCCACCACAACCTCCACACCCACCGCATCTACCACAGCCATCACAGCCACTACAACCACCACAGCCACCACAGCCACCACCGCCACACCCACCATAAGCGCCACCACCAACTGTGAACTTGAGGCAGAGTTTGTTGGTACAGTAGTTGGCATGATAACCAGCTGCCAATACAAACAACAGGTCTTCGTTGGGTATTCTGCGTGGTTTGTTGGTCTGTACATTTTCACTCAACCTCGTCCCCAGGGCTTTTCCCTTAAAAAATGGGTGGGGCGGGAAAAGGCCCTGGCATCGGCTGGTCACGTGTCCCCTCGTACACCCTAAAATCCTGGGTGTAATAAATTAGCGGTATGTGAAAAGCTAAAATTATGCGTAACCTCACAGCGCGCGATCTTGGGCGGCCTTTTATACCTCTTGACGATTAACGAGAAGTTTTACAAGGTTTCCTTTTTGTCACAGATACTGGCTATGGTAATTTTTTGCTTTCCTCCGATTTCTATGAAGGGGACAGCGAGCGGTAACATTTGTAAAACTTCCTTTATAGAGCGATATAAATGACAAACAAGCTATCGTACATGCATAAAGTTTGTACTGGAAAAGTTCGTTTTCGCGACTCTTTTGATATTTTATTTTATTTCTTGCGAAGTGGACCGCCGTACACAACCTAGTTCCATTCACCTTAACTCTCAGCCATATCATCATAGCGATACGCGTTGGTTTAGACTTATCTTGTATGGCCTGTATTTTTAAAAAATTCATGGACCTCTGCGAGACTTGACTGAAACCGGAAACGGCGCATGAAAAGTCTCTGGCACCCAGGGTATCAGACGACTGGTACCAAAGAAAGACTTGGATCCATTTAAAATTGACATAGCTGTAGTTGATTCCAATCGATCGGTCAATCTTCCCTTGAATACAAGGAAAATCCATTGTACTTATCCTCGGAAGAGAAAAGATATAAGAGATCTTCAAATGTTTCAGATCGGCGACCTGTCATCGTTCCTGGCTGGAGGGCTGACTTGCATCCGGTGCGGAGACTTGTTTGTTTCATGGTCGGGTTGTAGAGGAGACCAGACTCCGTAAAGCATTTTGATGAACAATTATATTTCAATTAAGTTCAATTTGTTTAAATTCACTGCAGATATTAGAGGCAAAGGCCCGCATTTTTGTTTGACATTGGACAAAATCACTTTCCGCTTGATGATCTTACAGCAATTCCACAGTCACGATCAATTTCTGTCGAAGTACTACTCGATAACAGCTTGTCTCAACTCATATTTTTTACGTGACAACGTACAGCCGGTACGCCCTTTCATAAACTTGTAGCATTTGAATAATACGCAATTAAATGGATCTTAAGCTTTTGAATCGCACAGACGGGAAAATATTGACATACAGTTCGCGATGTTATTATTTTCCATTGTTACTCCGTTCGACTTCTGTCAGCGCAAAACCAGCGGGTTGCATATAAATTAGCTTCTCGGGAATATTTAGGTTGTGCACGTGACCAGCTGATCCCAGGGCATTTTCCCGCCCCACCCATTTTTTAAGGGAAAAGCCCTGGGGACGAGGTTGATTTTCACTGACGGTGCAGTACAGCAGCCATTGTTCCCAAGTGGCGAGTAATAAGGTTGGCAGAGAAGGTGAAGAATGACAAATAAAAATCCAAGTGCAATTGCCTCGGGAACATCTTGCACCTCTGCTGTAAGTGAAATTACACCGGTTTTTAGGTCAACATTAAGCTTCTTCCTCTTTCCCAGAAGATATACGGAAAACTGATTCCGCATTTCTCAACTCGTTTCCACTCCTGCTTTTCAGTCAGGGAGAAGAACTTGACCGACAGACTTCCGGGCTGACGTCTTGTTCCTGGCTTTCCCTTTATACCTGGTATTCCCTTGATGGCTGGTGTCTCGCTAGTGCCTGGTGTTCCTTTAGTTCGACTGACACCAGGTACACCAGGAACGCCTTCGACAACACCCTGCCATTTGCCGATGCAAATACCCCAGTCCTTGCTTCCTCTTATAAGCATAGCTCTTTCTCCTTCCTGCAAGTCGAGAGTGCAGCATTTTTCTGGCTTTCTTACCTGACCACGCTTGGGAAGAACGTTTTGCCGGATTAGATACGTCAGACCAACAACTTTGTTGATAACCTGAACACACGAGAGCTGCAATACTGCAGAGTGTATTACTCGACATACAAACGCTGGTCGTCTGCGGGAATCGAACAGCAAATGGTCTGACATTTCGCATGGTGCCTTCGCTGATTGAACTAAGGAGACCGGTGAAAGAATTAACGTCGGGGACCTTAAAAGTTGAGCGAGATTTTTCACGTTGCTGCATAGCTTTTGTGGTTTCACTTTGAAGGAGTAACCATCCTGTTTGGGTGGATGAGCTATGGTGGTAACTCGAACGTACTGATTATGATCAGGCATCTGCAACTCGTGGGTGACCGGTTGAAGCCTTAAGAGCGGCTCCGCGTAAATATCAACTAGACGAGAAAATAGTCAAAAAATGACCTGGCCTCAAACTCAGCCAGAATAAAGCCCTATGGGCCCTAGTTACAAAATCGTTGGTTTAAGTACGATCGAGTGAATAATATTTTTTTAACGAATTTTTTTCTTCCCGAGGCCTAAAATGGGCAAAAATCATGCGAAATTAGAGTCATATTCAGTAACTCGTAAATTTTAAAATAAAGTTGGCTACTAAAATATAATGACACTTTGTATTTTTACTATCTTTCCTCTATAATCTTAACTGATTAGTTCGCGATTTGGTCCACAAGAGATTTTTAAAGAAATTTTCAAAGTTGTTGACTCAAAATGGCTTAATCAACCGTCAAAATTTAGCACTTTTTCACGAGCTAAAAAAGCGGATTGGTACATGGCTTTGAACACCAAGGCTTGTTTAGTCTGAAAGAGCATTCTTTTTTCTTCAAATTAGCAAAATAAAATTTTTGGGTAAATGAAATCACGAGCGCGGACAAAGCCAAGCAAATGTAAATATTACACTAAAAACAAGCGAAAAAACGTGACCTCTGACCGAAGCACAACCAAATGCGAATTACGGTAGGCGCCAAACCTTTAATTATTAGGTAACTTCTTGAGACAATATTGGTCCGAAATGTGTATAGATTTTTTAATAAAGCTGAGTTAAAGTATTAAGTGTCAAAAGTCCACAAAGCGGTAAAAAATACAACAAAAGGCACGAGTAATCTGTTCCGTTTTCTGAATTTTACGCAGCGATTTATGCGATTTAACGAATTAACAATTTTTAATCCAACGATACCCACCTGAGACTGTGTTAGTTTAAGAGTCCATAGAACTTTTGAGACGATTCCTCGGAAAGACCTCCAGAACGAAATGAATGAAGAATTTGAACATACACCCTATGCAGAACGAAAAGAGACTGGGAGCGATCAACTTCAGTTGAAAACGAGGCTAGTTGGGCCTTGTTTACTCGTGTTAGAAATATGGCCGCTCATGGCTCTGTAAGTAGCCGTCTCTCTCAGAGTCTTACGGAGGAAGATGTCCCCGGAGCATCGCTTCAGGGAAGAAATCCGACTGCTCTTAAAACAGATGAACTTCGCTTTTGGTTAAAATGTCGTGGCGGTCCAGCAAAGGGGTTAAAAACAAAGGCACAATTGGCGAAAAGGTAAGTACAGTATTTGTCAGTCGTTCGTGATACTTTTTAGAATTAAAAGAGACTTTGATATTGTAAATGGAGATCAAAAGATTTAAGAGTTATTTTTCTCGATGAAATGTTTTTAAAAATGTAATGATTAATAGTTTTTCTACTTTTCATTTTGAAGAGTTCTTGAATATTGCGTCTGGTCGTGACAAAGATGTTGTGGATCCCGATAAAAATCTGATATACACGCGTCGAAAGGCGAGACAAGAACAACTCGCCCAAAGTGATGCGATGCCTGAGGAAAGTACTGTTACATTTCCATCAGCCGGATGGTCTACAAGTTTGCAACGAATGCCATTATTCACAAGGGCAGAGATGGATTTACATATTTCTAAATCTGGAAAAAACTTTGACAGAAATAAACTACGATGGCCCAGGAGGGTCACAGTCCAGTATTGGTTTTTGACAGTCCAGTTATGGTTTTACACAGTCCAGTTATGGTTTTACACAGTCTAGTTTTAGTTTTTACACAGTCCAGTTTTAATTTTTACACAGTCCAGTTTTATTTTTTTACACAGTCCAGTTTTATTTTTTTACACAGTCCAGTTTTATTTTTACACAGTCCAGTTTTAATTTTTACACGGTCCAGTTTTATTTTTATTACACAGTCCAGTTTTATTTTTACACAGTCCAGTTTTAATTTTTACACAGTCCAGTTTTATTTTTTCACACAGTCCAGTTTTATTTTTACACAGTCCAGTTTTAATTTTTACACAGTCCAGTTTTATTTTTTCACACAGTCCAGTTTTATTTTTACACAGTCCAGTTTTAATTTTTACACAGTCCAGTTTTTTTTTTTTACACAGTCCAGTTTTTTTTTTTTGTGTGGTTACCAGACCTCTCTCGCGCTACTGCAACACTTGTTATCTAACGGCAGCCATTTTGTATTTCCTTGCGACGATGGATTCAATCATCAGGCAGGCTGTTCGAGAGGAACTGAGACGTTCAAGTTCTAGTCGTCCAGAAACTGCGTCTTCTACTAATCAAGATGATCAGGGAAGAAGTGAAAACGAATCAGGTGCGGCTGGATCATCACGAAGTTCGTTTTCATCACGAACAGTGGGCCGATGTTTCTAAAACGAAGACCCAAAAACGAAGACCTAAGACCTCCTGGACTAAAACTCTAAACACTTTGGATGTGTTTACGGTGATGATGACGTCAGTTTTGTTTAAATAAAAATTTTTCACACCATGTACATTCGAGAAAGCTTTCGAAGTCTTGTGGTAACGTCCACATCGGAAGTTCTCTCGGGATCGAATCTTGCTAAACGGAAGTGTGCTTTTCCTTTCCTTTTTTTTCTTTCATTTTTGTATTGTTATCATTATGACAACTGCTTGAGCCGTAAAAGATAAGTCATTTTTTACAATAGAGGTCAGAATAAAGTAACAGGGATATAAATATAACCCCGTATGTATATGAATGAACCTTGCTTGCTTGAAACTCGAAATGTACACCTTTAGTCGAGTGATGTTCTGGATCGACAGCTTTTTTTCTATTGATGAGGTAAAAAGTATTAAAAAGAGCGCGAGGTTCCCCTCTCCTTAAATTCATCATTGCTAAATGTCTCGTTGTTATTTCCTCCCGACGCCGGTTATTTTGTTTTGTAAATGTATTGATCGATACAATTGTTCGACATTTTAGAACGCTAGAGCACGCGGTTATATTTTCTTAGCCGTCGATCGAAGAAAAGGTGGGTGAAAGACTTCATTATTACAATTAAATAGCGCAGAGGAAATTCCACAACCCTCCTAAATCGCCTTAAAGTTTTATTCCACAGGGGTCTTCGTTTTAGTCCACGGGGTCTTAGGTCTTAGCCCGGGGGGGGGGGGGACTCGATATATCCTTGGGTGGGGAGGTGCGGCCCGGCCTCTTATACCCTGACCCTGTGTAAGACAAAAATCGCTGATTTTCCTACACTGTTTAAGACAGAATTCCGATTTTCATACCCTGTTTAAGACATTCGTAGAACGTACGCGCAGGCTGTTTATCGTCCAAGAAAAGATACCCTGTTTAAGACAAATATTGATAAAATCGATACCCTGTTTGAGACAAAAATTCCGAAAAACATACCCTGGCTGGCCGCACGTCCCCATTAAGCCCTTATAAGGGAGTACCCCCCCTCCCCGGGGTCTTAGGTCTTCGTTTTAGAAACGGCCCACTGTTCGTGATGAAACGAACTTCGTGATGATCCAGCCCTGATTCGTTTTCACTTCTTCCCTGATCATCTTGATTAGTAGAAGACGCAGTTTCTAGACGACTAGAACTTGAACGTCTCAGTTCCTTTGTTCGATTATAGATTATTGAGACTCGCCTGCCTGATGATTGAATCCATCGTCGCAAGGAAATACAAAATGGCTGCCGTGAGATTACAGTAGAGCGAGAGAGGTCTGGTAACTACACAGAAAATATAAGTGGACTGTGTAAAAAAAAAATAAAACTGGACTGTGTAAAATTAAAACTGGACTGTGTAAAAATAAAACTGGACTGTGTGAAAAAAATAAAACTGGACTGTGTAAAAATTAAAACTGGACTGTGTAAAAATAAAACTGGACTGTGTAAAAAAAAATAAAACTGGACTGTGTAAAAATTAAAACTGGACTGTGTAAAAATAAAACTGGACTGTGTGAAAAAATAAAACTGGACTGTGTAAAAAATTAAAACTGGACTGTGTAAAAAATAAAACTGGACTGTGTAATAAAAAAAAAAACTGGACCGTGTAAAATTAAAACTGGACTGTGTAAAAATAAAACTGGACTGTGTAAAAAAATAAAACTGGACTGTGTAAAAAAATAAAACTGGACTGTGTAAAAATTAAAACTGGACTGTGTAAAAACTAAAACTAGACTGTGTAAAACCATAACTGGACTGTGTAAAACCATAACTGGACTGTCAAAAACCAATACTGGACTGTGACCCTCCTGGGCCATCGTAATAAACAGAACCATGCTGTTCCAACAAGCATAAAAAAGGCAAAAACATTTCTTGATGATGAATACCTGAGAGACTTAACTTGCGCAAGTGATGACCAATATTTCTATTTTAAATGCTTGTGTTACCATAGCTTTAACAAAATTGAGCCACCCCACAAATTACAAGTTGCACTTTGTTTAGTAAGTGGAGTTGTTAAATATGCTTTGTGTACATGTGTAGCAGGATCTGTTGGTTTTTGCAATCATGTGCTTGCTGTTATGATGAAACTCTGTAAGTTCAGCTTGTATTGTTGTCAAGATATTAAGGACTTGGAAAATGAATGTGATATGACACAAGCTAAGGCATGCACTTCAAGTTTACAACTATGGCACAGGCCTGTAAGAGGAGATAAAATCATGCTCCAACCTGTCATGGAACTTGAGGTAAAAAAGTCGAATATAGACACAGAGCATAACCCTGATAGTGGAGTAAGGTGCTTGTTGTATGAAGCTAGGAAAAATTTGGGTACGCAGGCATCTGATGAAGCTTTGTTAAAAAAAAAAGCTTCAAGAGATCAACCCTAAGTTTGCCCTGTCTCAAATTATGTGTACCGGTGGTACCAACTTACAGGAAACAAAATTTGGAAAATGTCCAAGTGGCTCATATGCAAGTTACCAGTTACAGTTCACAGAGTCTAATTTTCAAGTTTTCTGTAATATTGACTCAGTGCCTAGAGTGGACTGTAATGATGAACAAAATGCTATTTCTGTATATCCTCCATTCCCTTTGCAACAATCTGTGCAGTATGAAAAGCCAGATGATTTAAGCAGCAACCAGGAAGCACTCCTGGATCATTTGATTGTTGATGAGGCAAAGCTTAATACCATAGAGAAGAAAACAAGTGAACAAGCAGCCTCACAGGAATGGCAGGCTGAAAGGAAATTTCGGTATACAGCATCTAATTTCCACACAATTGTAAAAAGGCAAAGGAATCATGACACTCTAGTAAATAACCTGCTTCATCCCAAACCATTCACTGCCAAACAAACTGCACATGGGAAACCCTATGAGCCTTTAGCCTTAAAAGAATATGAAAAATATATGTTTTCAACAAGGAACCCAGTTTCAGTGTTCAAAAGTGGCCTTGTTGTCAGTATGGCCTCTCCCTTTTTAGCAGCATCACCAGATGGCAAGGTCATTGACCGAGGCTGTAGCAAGCCTTTTGGGCTGGTAGAGGTTAAATGTCCCTACTCTAAATTTCATGTGAGTCCTTTAGAAGCATGCACCGATGAAGTTTTTTTGCAGAAATTGTAAATGGCAAGCCAAGGCTGAAAAGGGGGCACCAGTACTACTTTCAGATACAGGGTCAACTAGGTATTACAGGAGCAAGTTGGTGCGACTTTGTTATCTATACTAACAAAGGCATGAGTATAGAGAGGATCACATCTGATCCTCAATTCTGGGACGTATTGAATGAAGGCCTAAAGAAGAGCTATTTTGAACATTTCATAGCACCAGCTTCTGTAGAGTTCAGTAACCATTAGAAGGGTTAACTACCCTAATCTAATCTTGGCACGAGTAAAGAGAAATTTTGTGTCTCATACCTAACTTAATATGTTTAAAACAGAGTATCAACCAACATGGTCTGTATAATAAGATAGCTTTCTTTATTCTTTGATTGTAAGATCTTTAGAACTACATGTAAAAGCTGACCTCTTTTAAGTGTTTGAGACTGAAAGCAAGCGAATCACATTCTTAGTTTTAGTTGGTTTAGAAAATATTTGACCTGAGGTGTATCATCAGGTTTACATTTATTAAATTGACTGAAATTCTGTAGTGTGCCTCAGAGCTCTGCCTAACTCAGTGTTAAGTGGAAATAAGAGGGTCCTGAATGTTACATAAAAAGGCACAGACACTCCACATTTGGTTCACTACCCCAAACAAACTGAGGGGTACAACACTATCCCATAAGTGAAAATTCTTGATTTTATTGATGGCCCGTTCAACGTGTATTCTAACAGAAGCAATTTCTTGAGTCTTGATAACATCTTGTGCTGTCATTTGGCTATTAGACCCTAAAAAGGGGGGAATGTTTAGGGTTACACCCAGTGGGAGTAGGTCTTCAATTGTAACACCTTTATCGGCTATCACGGTGTCACCATTGTCAAACTCTAACTTCAGGAAACCACTTCGTTCAACAATTTCGCGATCGGAAATGCTTCCACTATATAGCTGACTGATAAAAGTTATAGCTCCACTGGGAGCAATTCCAACTAAGCCTTTTAGAGTTACATAGTTCTTATAGGAGCTGAACAATTTGGAATTCAACAGAAGGCTGGAAGGCATTTGGCATCTAATTTCTGTACAATCGATTATTACACGGGTGCAAGAGTATTTCTCTTTAAAGCTGTCAGGCATTGTAGCTCTTATAACCTCCCTATTAGGCCATATAGATACTTGACCAAATTTCAAATACATGTTATTTATCCAAGAGAGGAATGTTCTGCTTACTGTCGATTGCGAAATACCAAACAAGTGAGCTAGATGTTTTTCTGCAAATCCCCTTCTCAGTCTGCAGAGAACAAGGAAGAACTTCGATTCTCTCTGGGTTCTAAGCTTCTTCGTCTACCTATGCTAGTACATCCCTCTGGTTCCTCGTTTCCACTATCGTAAAACTCCCTTTGGACAGTTCTTTCTTTTGATGAACAGTACCTTATGTTTTCCCCTTTCGATCCAGTATTTAAAAATTCAAACACAGCATTAAATGTTGCTAAATTAGGAAATCCCGTATAAAAGGCAATGTCCTCGTCGGTGGTAAAATTGCGTAGCTGAAAAAGGCGGGAATCTTTAAGGCTCCTCTGGCGTTTTAATACCTCTATTTCAGCCTTTAACTTCGCATTTTCAAGTTCAAAACCTCGAATTCCTTCAAGTTCTTTAACTTCTTCTGTTTGATCTTCACACGAACTTAAGCTGTTTTCCACATCATGATAACTAAAAGCTTCTGATGAAATACAGGTTTCAGAAGTTGCTTCAGCTGCATCTGCAGTTGTTTAACTTTGAGATGATTGCAACTCCTTGTTTGAACACTCTGTTGTAGACGAAAGTTTGCGACATTTAGGAGGTGCTCGCTTTTTCGGAGAACCTTTGGACCACGAAAATCGAGATGGAATTACCCCTGCCTTTACATAAACACGCTGACCTCCAATAGCTTTAACCAAGTCCTCGGGCTTAAAATGACGAGAACAGATCTTCGTGTTTTGGTTGACTCTAAACGCTTTTCCTTCGTCTCGACGAATGGCATGGAGCCAACGTTTTTTGAGGATAACGTCGTCTGGAAACTTCAAGTAAGAAATTTTCTCCCCGTTTGCGGCATTTTCAAAAACTGGCGCCCTTCACATCAGGCGGCCATTCTTATTTACCATGCCCAACTAGCCTTGTTTTCAAGTTGATCGCTCCCAGTCTCTTTTCGTTCTGCATAGGGTGTATATAACTGTAACAATTTCACTTGCCGCCACAGCAATGAACGAAAACAACTGTCGAACTGCCACAGGCAAACCAGCTTTCAGTGGAGTCATGCAAAGCATGTCACGTCACGTAATTCTGCCACGCGATCAAGGTACTCCAGAAACTGGGAGTACCTAGCGCTGGCGTGGTAAGGTGAAGAGCAAGGCAGTTTCCGGTAAACCAGGCAATGATACTCGATGATACCCCCTAACCGTATTGGCATGTAGAGATCTACTTCTAGATGATTTACAGAGTAAAAAATCAACTAATTTCAAAACCTTGGTTATAAACCTTCTCTCCAAACAACCTATTCTAGGATACCTTCCTAACATTTCTACTCCGCCCTCCCCCTTTTCACCCTAACCTTCACCTTAACACCAGCTAAATATTCAACATAACTCAATACAGCTAGTTCAGTCTGTTTTTTAACTGCACGCTGCTTCTTTATGCCATCTGATGTGGGTTTTCCTTTCAAAACAAAACCACCCCCATAGTTCAAAATCTGCCTCTCCTCTTCGGTTACATTTCGTCCAGTGAAGTTATGTTAATTCACTCTATCACGTTGCCTTTCTCTTTCAAATGTAATGTCCTCACCATTTAGTCTATCCTTATAAACAAAGGATTTTAAATCACTTTGTGATAGGGCATCCCTCTCCTTTACAAAGGACAATAAACAATGCAAAGTGTCTTTCAGTTCACCCACAATTACTAGGCCTCCTCTTGTATGTCTTTTCTCCTTTGTTTTGGTCTGAATAATCTCGTCCTCTCTTGTTTCTCCACTGTGACATTTCAGAAGTAATTAACTTCGTCTTATTCTCTACTATATCATCAACATTTCTCTTTATGGCCGCTAACTCCAATCCTATACATTTCTTTTTTCCTCCAGAACCAGCCTTGTTTTTTCATCCTTACATGTCACTACACCACAAACAGCTGTATATTCCACATCTGCTTCCTTTCTTAAGTTATATATTTCAAACTTTAAACGTGCCAACGTACTGTACAGTCTATCAATTTTTTGCAAATCACATCTTATACCAGAAGCGATATAGCGAGATTTTAAAACCTTTGCATACCAAGTCTCTTTTTCTTTAGACATTGTTCAATTTTAGCACCTTCGCAAAACAATCATTCTCGCAAATTTCACAATAACGATTGCACGTAAGTATTTCTGCTCACGCCCCAAAATTTTCAAAGAAAAACGAAGAATTATTTAATTTAACAGTATTCTGCTCGCACTGGAAATAGTTGCATTGCCCTTAAATATTTAAAAAAACTTGACGTAATCTATGCAATCACGTAGCCTATACAGATTTTACAAGTTCACCAGTCGTTTCCCAACACAGCGAATTCGCCATTGAGGTAAGCATTCCTAACCTTTCAATCTCTGCGTTTAACCTAAATATAAACACCTTGTATGTAGATACCGTACGAGGATAAAAAACAAACCAAGTTTCACTCACCCTTACTACTACAGACTACCATAATGGACACAGCAATAGGCCACAAAGATAAACGACCAAGATGTAGTAGTGATTTTCAAACAAAAGGCATCCTTAAATGACAAAAAGGCACGTAGGGCTCAGCCAAATGGTACCATAGTGGCATCGAAACGTGTGGAAACAGGCCTTTTCTCCGAAACCCGTCCCATTCCACAGCGGCTATTAATCTGTTTACCTCCCCTCCCTGACTTGTTTCCTTGATTGCCTTCTGAGCTCCTGATGAGACAAGGCTTCAACCTCTTGTTGAGATAGGATGTTTTTCGTTTTTAAGGATGAGCTCATCATAATATATATCTTATTTATCGTTTATACCTGGGTAACATAAGATAACAATAGTAGACGTATTATCATAGGTAGGTCACTCATTTTTACAGCTATCAGCAGAGGAAGAACTAGAGATAAGAACATGCCTGGCAGCGATTGAAATGGAGGAGAATAAAAGGGAAATCGTGGGAAAACAAAATGAATTGCGGGTGAAGGAAGAAGAATTAAAACTAAAAGAAAGAAAAAGCGAAATTGAGAAAAAAGAAAAAGAGTTAAAAGAGAAAGAAGAAAAATTAAAACAAAAGGCAAATGAA